AGCAGAGGGGGAGGAGAACCTCCCTCGCCCTGCTGCCCACACTCCTCCTAATGCACCCCAGGATCCCATTGGTCTTCTTGGCACCCAGGGCACACTGCTGGCTCATGGTCAGTTTGTTGTCCACCAGGACACCCAGGTTCCTCTCTGCAGAGCTGCTCTCCAGCAGATCAGCCCCAGTCTGTACTGGTGCATGGGGTTGTTCCTCCCCACCTGCACTTGCCCTTGTTGAACCTCATCGTCCTATCACTTGAACATCCCCCCGGCCAAAAGGACCTCATGCAGGAGCAGCCCAAACTCAGCCCCCCCCCCGAAGAGGCTTTTGCTTGAGCTCTCGTTAAAGGGTTGGAAACTCAGGGAGTGACATTGCATGGGAAGATTTGCTGCTCCAAAATAGCAAAGAGGCCCAGCGCGTGGTACGGCGAGATGCTCGAGGGGGTTTTCTAAAAGCTTTTCGCTGCTGCTTCCCCCTGGCCTGGAGCACACGATGCCTTTGACGCCACGGTGTGCCTGGTTGGGGTCACTGTCTCGTTCCTCTCTCCTTGCCCCCAGACACGCGTGTGCCGGGAGCGTGGCACCGCTGTTGTGAAGATATTCCCCGTGCAAACCTGACGCCCTTTCTGTTTCAGACCTTGCTGAAGAAAGACGGCCGCGTGGAGATCGAACCTCGGAGCTTCTGCGAAGCGAAACGCAGCCCGGACGCTGACAGGCTGCTCGTCGTCATCAGGAACGAGGACATTGCCTCGCACATCCACAACGTAAGGCCTGAGTCCGTCCTTTTTTTCTGCCTGCACCGTTTTTGAATATCAGGATCCATTTTAAAGTGTTTTTTTTTTTAATTTTACACTATATATAGCGGCAGATTTAATTCTCAGTCTCTGCAGATACACTGTTCTCTCCACTGAAAGAACAGTGCTTTGTGAAGAGCTGTTAAAAACCAATTTGAAAAACATGAAACCCGTCAGTTCTGTTTTGTTCTGTCTCCATTTTTGGTTGCTGGATGACATCACTAGGAGTAGCCCAGCTCAAAGGGAGTCAGGCTGGGCTTATCTTGTGTAACAGAGCAGTTCAGCCAGCTTTGGCTCGTGGGCTCCAGTGAATATTGCAGCAGACACCCACCTGTAACTCCCTCTATTGCTGTCCACGGCTTTGGGGTCAGGCTGTGGAGACCCGAGCGTCGAGGTGATGCAGAAGAGGACAGGGTGGGCTCCTGGGCTCTCCTGGGAGCGGGTGAGAGGTGCAAACGCTGCTGAAACACAGCTGCGTGCACAAAAGCGTCTCTGCCTCGAGCAGGTCCCGTGCTTGCTGACGCTAAAGCACTGTCCGAACGTGGCGTTCGCCGGAGTGGACAGCCCCGAAGACGTAACGGGTCGCACGTACCAGGAGCTGTTTCATACCGGCGGCTTCGTGGTGTCGGACGGCGAGGTGCTGGAAACGGTGACGCTGGGTGAGTCTCGCTGCGGCCTCTCGCGTGGATGCGAACGCGCAGCGGCTGCTCCCGGCCTTGTCCGC